ATGCTTTTCATAGAAATAGGATCTTAGCAGTGAAGCAGATTAAAGATCCCTGGCGGTGATCTTTTTAATACATCACAGCCTGCAGGGTTGGTAGTTTCACTGCAATACACATATTATTTTTCTGTAGTCTGTGTTCTTCTGAAGAGACGGTCTGGTCAATAAGGAAGCTAGAGTGTTTTGAATGCAATGGAAACCTCCAAGTATAGTTAAGAGGAAGTGGAGACGGAGGAGGGAGGGAGGAAGAGAAATGCAGCGTATAAGGACTCTATGGTAGGCATTTCTTCAGCTACATACTTTCTACTCCACTTTTCATGCCCCTCCCCCCCGCCATGAACTCAGCTGGCTGGAGACCGAAAGGTCTGCATCTTTTGGCTGAGTGGCATTCGAACAAAATCAAACTTCTCACCAGACAGACAAAGATCTGGTCATTTTTTTGTATATTTTAAGTGTGCAAAATCTCAAACATTCTGAGGATACATTCACACTCTTTTTTTCCTCTTTCTCTCCTTGTCAGACTCATTCTTACTTGTGGCAGTCTCATCTATAGTTGCTACCAAATGTGATGCTACTTCCCTGCATTAGAGCGCCCCTCAATGGACAGTTTGACCTCCTGTGGGATGAAAGAAGGCCTTGTGTGGCTGGAACTGATTATCTGAGGGCGTGGCCCTTCGTCTCCCTTCATACTGTATCTTCGGAGGCCAGGCGAGGACCAGCGTCTCTGTGAGGCACCTAGTGCAGCCTGCATTGCTCCCATCCCTGCCTCTGCAAAAGCAGAGCCTTCTGTGTGCAAGTGGTAACTGCTCTGGCTCCTTGGATGCTCTCCTGAGGTCCTACTTGGTCTGATGGGCGACTCAGTGCGGCCTACAGCCCCGAGCTGTGTGGCTTCCTCTTTATCGGCCAAATCTTTCTCTCCATCCTTCTGTCTTTCTCTGTGAATGCGGTCCAACCTGAAATGAGATGGCGGCCGTGACTGCTGAGGGGCTGGAGGCCCCATTAGCTGGTGACCAGGTCCCGATGTAGCATTGGCTTTGCTTATAGTCCTGGACAGGTTCTGTTGTTGTTGCGTTTGTGAATGATGGTGCTGTGGTTGCTTCTGTTGTTGTGGAGGAAGCGGTGGCTGCTGCTGCAGGGTGATGGACACACACATGTCACCAACTTGTAGATGATGGCAGGCCAAGCCGTAGAGCTGGGCCGTGCGTTCGGGGCTGCAAGATGACCATCCCTGGCCAAAGACAAAGAAGGGGTGCTCCGGGGGCACGTCGATGGTCACTTTGCTCTGCTGCTCCCCCACAGTAAAATGAAGTGAAACCAGGCCGGGTCTCTGCTGGCTGGCGCGGATGTCCATCACCAAGCTGGAGTCGATTTTAAGCCCTCCGCTCACTTCGGCGCTACGCACAAAATCCTGAGTCTGCAGGTCCTCCACACGCTTCAGCTCCCCAGTAGCCAGCTGAATAATTGCCCCCTTCATGAAGTGCGATGGGTTGCAAGGAGCCGGTGCGGGAGCAAGGCTTGAAGTTAAGGCCTGAGTCGCATCTGCTGTAGGCTGGACTGGAGGCTGCGGGAGAGGCTGCTGCTGAGCTGTGATTGGCTCCACCCTTTCAGAGAGGCACACTCTGGCTGAAGAATCAGAGACTTTAAAGCTTGGGCTAGGGGAGGCCATGGTGGTAGAGGCATGGCTGGCTGAGGCATCATTAGCCTGTCCCGGGTAGTGTTGCTGTGGTTGCTGATGCGAATGACACTCCAAGGGAATAAGTACCGGTTGCCCATTGGCAAGCATAACAGCGTGGCCTGGCTGTCCTGCTTGCTGCTGGAGGGCGGTGACTCTGTGATCACTGTAACTCACATTCTGCGCCGCATACGCCGTTCGGCTGGAAATTACGCCTGGACTCTCTCCGTGGACATCTCTGGCTCTGTGGCCACCCTGAGAGAGGTTCAAGGGAGCAAAGGAGACCTCTTTCCGTGCTCCGATACCACTTTGGTTAGAGGAAACCAAACGCCCAACCACCTGCTGCACCTGAGAGTTGAATAAATAAATGAGTAGTTATTTGAACAACAACAACAACAACAACAACTTTTAATTTCACAGAACAATTTAAAAATGGCTTTTGGTACGCTTCCTCACAGCAGCCTGAAGAAACCAAATGTGTAAAATATGAGTGGCTTTTAATTATCGAGTTCCTAAATCTTCAACCTCTCCAACAAGAGATTTCAGGCCAGACAATGACCACAAAATTATTATTTTTTTTAACTGATGTCAGAAAAGACAGACATCATAGAGCTCCCTCTGACTTCTTTTACAGAAAGGCTGTAAAATGGTTTGATCTGCATGGACATCATTTCTAGACCCTTCTTCAAAAGTGTTCTCTATTGGTCATGCTCTGCTTGCCATGTTCAAATGTGTGATTTTCTTTGCATCAGGTGACACTTGTGCTTCCCTTCAGTGTACATGTAAAACACAAAACCTAAGCTGTAACATGGAACAATGTCACACACTGTCTAATATCACTCCTGGCTCTTCTTATTTAACTGTTAACTTTGGTTTATTCTTTGTGCCTTAACTTGTAAAGAGGCATTAAATCACCATTTCACTGTTAGAGGGTACATTAGAAAGCCATCAGTGTGTCTCACCTCCAGGTCACTGTCCGGAGTGCTGCGCTGACCAGGAGAACTTCTCTCTTCCAGTCTTCGGTTCTGCAGGACTTTGTCTTGGCTGTGCTCCTGTGATGCTGAGCTGGATGCAACCTGTGGTAGACGTGCATTTCTGGCAGTGTAGACCGAGTCTGGTACAACCTCTCTGGCTCCCTGCTCTTTGTCCCCTCCATTCACCTCCAATTCATTCTCCTGCTGGGAACTGTGGCAGTCTCTGACAGCAGTGGCACCCCTTGCTCCCTGAGGGTGGCAGAAGACGGGCATCCCTCGGGAGCTAAGCTCTGTTGCAGGCAGGACTCCAACAGTACCAAGGTGCTGCTGGGCAGCTTGCTCTGAGGGCAGCATCAGTGGGACACCACTGGAAGCTGCAACTTTGGCAAAGGTATGAGCAGCCACCTGGGCCTGAGGAGGTGGAGAAACAACACCTTCTTGTATGACAGATGGGTAGGGAACAAGGTGGGACACAGCATGGGGCTGCGGGATGGTCCCTGAGGGAGAGATTAATGATCCTGGGACAAAACCAGGGGGGAGCGCGTAAGGTACTGCTGCATAAGGGGAACTGACAAACTGGAGAGAAGAATGAGGGATCTGTGCATAACCAAGAGGGGGATAGGGAATGCCAGGATGATGCTGCAGGAGGGGAGAGTGTACAGTATAGGCTGGAGAAATGTGGCTTAACACTGGGTGTAAACTGGTAGGTGAGTAGGTAGCAGATGGAAGGGCCACTTTGTAGAGCATACTGTACTGGTCAACGGGCACTGCCGGTATGCTGTCAGAATTATCCACTCCATAATGAAGCCCTGGCTGAGCTCGCAGCCACTCTCCGGATGGGGTCCCTCCCTGAGTTTCACTGCTGGCTCCACAATTCTGGATGGAAACCACTTCCTCTTCTGCAATACCACCAGCAGCACTGCCAGCTCCGCTGTTAGCCCCTCCGAATGGAACCCCACCTCCCACTGTCCCTCCAGCTCCACTGCTGCTGTTGCTTATTGGGAGATCCCTTTTCTTAGGAGGCAGGCACTCCTGATTACGCTCCTGAGCTGGTTTCATTGCTATCTTCAGACAAAGCCAGTAGCTTTATTGTACTGCACAGGAACTGAAACTTGCAAGCCAGTCAGCCCGCACAGGAACCAGTTCTGAAATCACCTGGTTCACCTCATCTACCAAACCACCTGAAAAGAAAAATACAATAAAATAAGACACATAATACTGTCTCATTGCATCAGTGCTTAAAACTTTGATTTTTAGGCTTTATGGTCAGCCACAAGTTGTGTTAGTTTACCCTCAACCACAGAAAGAAAGCACTAAAGCAAACCTCTTATGGTTTCCTTTTTTTGGTCATTCATATATACTAGTAAAGTCACAATGTGCATATTAAACACAACCAGGTTAGGGTATTTGCTGTGGAAGTGGCAATTTTATTTATATAGCACATTTATTATATGCAAACTCAATGTGCTTAACACAGAAGACAAAAAATAGATAAATAAAATCCCAGTATAGGTTTGCAATGCATTCAGGAAGTAAAAATGGCAAAATATGATAAAACAATGTCTGAATAAAAGGTTTTGAGCCTGTTTTTGAATGTATGCGTAATTGTACTTAAACTCAGGTGAGCAGGCAGCTTGCTCCAAAGAATAGGATCAGTTTGAGTACGAGCAAAAAAAAATCTCAGGCTTCAGACTACTCAAAACTCTTGATTTCAAACAGATTTTTCTGCTCTTATCTCTGTTTGACAAGTTCAGTTAGCATAACTTTGAATTATTCAAAGTTATGCTAACTGAACTTGTCTACCTGTAGTAGAATCGTAAAAGAAAATATGGAGCTAGAAATGGGCCAAAATTAGTCCACTTTGAAAGGTACAGCTATGCTGATCTAAGAGCAGAATTTTGTTAATCATCTCTGATCATGTCTATCTGTAGAAGCAAAAATAAACCATTTGACTGGGAAAACAAACCCTTAAGCTGCTTGATATATATATTAACAGTACATACATAGTACTAATACATGAATAGTCATTACTGTTTATTACACACAGACAGCTGTATATATAACTATAAACATCTTATAACTGACAAAATGTAATTTAATGCCCCATTTTCAAAAATTTAGCATTTTTTTTTATATCAACTACTTTTTACAGTCACATTTTAATACAATAACACCACTGCAATTGAGTGCAATACATGCAATTCACACACTCCCTGCCCCCGTCCAGTAAACATTCAAGCTGTTCCATGTCTACTTGAGTAGTAATAAAGTTGGAAATATAACTGTTGCAATGCATATCAGCTTGTTTACTATTCAAACACAACCCCATTCTAAAGAGATTAAAACATGCTGACAGATTTTTTGGACAGCTCCTAAAAGGCACATTTGCTAATTTAGCACACACTTAATTTGAAAAAGCTTATATTTAAAAATAAATAAATAAATCAAAGTCCAGAATCCAGACTTCTTTCAGCATGACTATACGGGAAACAATGTGAATTTTCATCTAGAAACATCTATTCAACTAATGCTGTAATGAGTAAATAATGTAATAAGTCAAGAGTTTTCTTCCTGTTATCGCTACACTCCAGGGAAATTTGTTTACCGTTAGCTGACTTAGCTAAAGTTAGCTAGCTACTAAAATTCCTACTTTTAAGGAGAAAGAAGTGACAGTGTGACACTTCGCAGTGCAACACCAAGCGTAGCCGACGAGTTTAAATGGTAGCTAATGTTATACGAGGCCACTCGCCTATCGCTATAATTTATCACTGTGCATCAGCCCAGAGGTTCAGGCTAGTTAGCCCCACGGCTAAAGCTAAATGAACTGACTCCAGCCCTGCTCGACTCACATCAGCTCATAACTACGATGGCAGCGCGCGGGGAGCCTCTAATAAACGCCCGTGCTTCGTCTCGACCTGCACACATACCTCCAAATGTCATCGCGAACAGGAGTTTCTTTATTAAAAAGTTGATATTCGGAGGGGACAATTGAAGTAATCAAGGCTCAGGAGTCAAGCCCATTTCGAAGGCCAGCAGAGGCGCTCAACAATGACGTCACTACGTTTACTCCCTTAGATTAGGCGTGCACTACTACCAGCAGAACGAAGTTTTTATCCTACTTGCACGTGAAAAATATAATATTACTTTTAATGCTGTGCGAACACATACTCAGAATTGCTTTTCTGGCAGATTTTTTCCAGTTTTTTCAAAATAACAGCAATAACACAACACATCAAAGCCAAAAAACATGGCGTTCATTCACTTTATTGCACCTATAGATATTAGTATCAGTTATTTTCATTTCATTTTGTTTGCTATTGCTTTGTTTTGATCAGTGTCTGCCTTAGCTTTAGTTTTTACAGTGATATGACTGAAGTTATATTATAAGGGGTACAATCTGAGAGGGTCAAAATGGGTATAGTATACAAAACACTATTTTATCTACAGTCATATAGACATCCCAATCCCAGTAAACATGTGAATCAATACCAGCCATTTTTCACAGATGTGATCAAATTGAGAAAAACTAAATATATTTCCTGCATGCTGGTGTGTCTTATTTCAGTCATAAATACATGTTTTTGTAACGTCTAGTTTTTGGGATTTTCAGTTTTTTTTCATACCCACTTACTATTTAATTTGGGTGTTGTGAACTCTAATAACCTCTGTCTAAATTAATTAAATGTACAATACGAAGTGTCACACAGCAGGGGGAGCTGAAGACATGCACCAAATAGAATTTACAATTGGGTAGTAACTTCATATTTTCTGTAGCATCAGAAACCCTCCATTAATCTTAGTCATTTTTATAGCCTATGTATATTAATAGTTAGATGCTTATAATTCATATGTTTGTTTTGGTACATTTAATCGTTTGATGCAGTAAAATAACCTTTTCATTTCACCAAACAGTAGCAGTACATAATCCTGTTGTCCTGAAATGACGATCTGCAGGTTTTTTTGTGTCATCTCCTCTGCAGATGCTGATTTGACTGAAAGAAATATGAACAAAGGCTTTGCTTTTACATGAAAAGACCAAATTCTCTGAACTGACAAGCAGCAAACATGGAGGTTCTGAAAACCAGGAAGTGTTGCCTTGTTGATAATCCACCTTTGAGTTAAACAAAAGGCATGTGACTGTAGAGTAAAAATATGCAGGTGTGTCCACATTAGCTGGAAACATCTGAAAGGTGCCAGCCCCAGTACAAGGCCTTTACAGACTCTAAGAAGAAATATGTTTTTCAGACATTTCTCCAAACGTAAAGCTCACACGCAAGCGGTGACATTTCCAGTTCCCTTACATTGCACACGGCTGACTTACCGTGGCATCTGTCAGTGAGATGATACAGTGGAGCAGAACTCTTCTTGATGCTGGTAGTTATAAAAGCAAGCAAATTTGTGTTTTCAAAAAAGAAGAAACTTTGTAACACACTAGCCTAAGCTCATCTTAGAAGTTAGTGTAATGTTTCAACAATCAGCCGACAGCCTGTTACAATGAAATCAGTAATGACAGTGCTACTTCAGGGCCCCTTTGATCCTGCACATCGTGCAAAACTGACAACAATGTTGACTTTTTTTGCTTCTTATCCTGCAAATTTGTAGTTTTCTTAGTAGTCAATGAGGGTATCTCATAAGATCCATCGGTTATCCATTGTTTTGGTTTTGTAGTGTGGTTGACTGATGTCCATCTAAAAGCAATTCTCATTACTCTGCAATCATCTAAAAGGTTCCAAGGCATGCCTTTGGGATTTGTTTTCCAAGCTTTTTCCAAATTAACTTCAGTGGTCTCCTTTAGATAAAAAATTAAGGGTCAGAATCATCAGTCAAACCAACTATTCCCCAGGTTATACTTCTATCAACAAGTTTGGTTTTGCAGATATTCTCTAAGAAATTCCATGATGATTATATAAGTCCTCTGACGATCTCCTTCCACAACTCCGGGTCCAGACAACAACATTACTGAACAAAAAACCCATCTGAGAATAGTTCTGGAGCTGCGTAACAGCAGCATTAGTGACACTAAACTAACCACTGCTGCACCTCACCTGTTGTGATCAGCAATTTTATCCTGAGCCACTGTCAAAGGGCACTCTGGGTAATCAGAGTTATGCTCTTGCAGGAAAACCTCAGCCAAGATTAAAGAGACACTTAAACTGAAGTGCAGCCTCCTTAAAAGGCTTGGTCTCAATCTCAGATATAGTTTCTCCTTTTGTATTCCAGCTGTGCCATTTCACATACTAGTTTCATTGTTATGGAAGTACACAAAAATTTAATGCCTCCATGTCAACATGCTATTAAGTGTAGTGTAATTAGTGCTCCATAAAATAATGTTATTTGACAACCTAATGTGTTTGACCTCTGCTATCTGTTGATCAACAAATAATGTTAAGGGGTGTATAACAAATCTATGAATGTATCATACTAAGATAAAGTCTTCAAAATCCATGTATAACTAATGACACCATACCGAGGATGGTAAATGCGCTGGCTCTTAAGTAGAATAAAAAAGAGCTGCCTGAGGACTCAAAGTTTTTTGTCCTTTGGTAACCAGCAGGTGTTTGTTGGGGGGGGGGGGATGGTTGAAACAAACAGATTTGTTTTCCTCATTTTGCATTAATGGATTTTTCCCCCCATGAATATCAACTTGGTAATTTTCATGCCACAACAAAAACATTCAAATTAGCTGTGATAAAGACGTATTATTGTCATGAACATGTCATAGAGAAGCCAGAACACAGTTTCATTTGCAAACTAATGTAATGATTGGTTACTAGTACATATTTGAGCTGTATTTTCTGTTATGAAAAAAAAAAGCTTCAGTGCAGTACCTCCAAATTTAACTAAATTTACACAATTGGTACAAATCAACAGTTTTTAGAAAACTAAGATAAGCCGACAGATTTAGAACAAAGTTACAAAAATGGTCAATCTTCCCAAAAAAACCAAACAAACAAACAAACAAGGCACAGAGGATGTCCAGCAGCTGCTCCATCCCTCTTAGAGAACATTTGCATATCTGAATAAATACATCTGCTGTTAATCGATATCAAACGGTGCCACAGAAGAAGCACGGTCATCATGCAGCTACAGCAGAGTGCAACATTGTGAATTAGTGGAAAAATAACACAGCATATAAATATCTCTTCATAAAATATAGAGACTAAATCAAGGATAAAAGTTATTTAGTACCATTAATCAAAAATATTAATTGGAAATTTTCAAGCATATACAATATTTATAATATTTGCCAAAAATTATATTTAACAACTGCCTTTAACAAATCTATCCTATATACTGAGTAAACTGTGCAATTAATAGCAGTTGGGAGAGCAGTTTTGCACTCACATTATACACTACAGAAACACCTGAACTAGTTATTGCAGAATAAAACCCTCATATCACTGGCAACTGATCAACCTAGCATCGCAGGATCACTGCGAATGACAAAGGGTTTGACAATAAACGGCCTTTTAACATTTTAAAGAGGAATTACACAGTGATCTTTTACTGATGCCATTGATGATGACATTTTCCCAAACTTGCCAAGACAGAGCACACAGTTGCACAAAGAACAGCGGGGCATGTTTAGGACTACATCTTCAGTTCTTGTTTTCGAATGCTGCCATTAGTCTCTGCAGAGTAAATGTATCAAGAGAAATGAGGAAGGATACAGTATGCTGAACAGTGTGTGCAGTTCATGCTTTTAAACTTTTCATTCTCTACAACTGAACCCTGCAATGTCAAAATTACAGGCACATGCATTTATGAGGCTTTGTAGTATCCAGATGACTTCTTGCTAATGTGCTGCCCTGAAACTGTGTCACGCTTTCTGAATGCTTGGACTCAGTGCCTGATATCTGATTCATCATTTACCAAACTAGGGACTGCATTGAGTCACAGCATCTGTCCATTCCTTTACTTTGAAGAGAGAAAAAAAAAAAAATTACCATTCAGCTACTATTATTCTGAAGAATTTCTCCTTGGTGCCTTACCAGAAGGCCTCTAAGTTTAATAAAACTGCTTTGTAAGAAAAGAGGAAATATCTACCACAGATTGAAGTCCTCACAGCTCCATTTCCCCGCAGACTAAAAATACAGGTCCTTATTGCTGCTTCAAAAAATAGAGTTAATCTACAGTTAGACCCTGAAATCACACCATTTGCTACCAATCGCAAAAACCCGAAAACAAAAACAACCCTTAAAATATGGGCACTTGTAGCAAACAGCAGTAAGTTTGTGCAAGAGGAAAAACAAAACAAAAAAACCCATTACATTCAACCAGGGCAGATCTTTTTTTGACGTATAATACATGTTAGCAGTATTATTTTCTGTTCCTCTTTCTGAAATATAAATTAAAAAATAATAATCTTCAATTAAATCTCCATGAAGGCACAAGCAACTTGACTACTTGGAAGTCAATGTTCAGTGAAAAGCATCATTGCTGCTGCAACACAAAATGGGCAATTTTTCTTTAAAGTTCATATAACATTACTCCATTTCAGTGAGACGTCTTATTGACCAATAAGAATCCAAAGAAATAACAATTTAACTCATAGCACTATCACAAATATAACTCATTCCATTATTGCTTTAAAACATACAGTAAATCAGAGGTAAATGTCAGAAAAGGTGTATTAAAAAGCACTCTTTAAGTAGATGGATGACAAAAAATAAAAATACATCCATCTTAAAAGTTATGATCTTTCACAGTCATACAAGAGCTCATGGTAAGGCCAATAATGATGTGCTTAAAAGACTGAATTCCTCAACTGTATTTTTCAGTGCTACAGACATTACTCTAGAAATTACCTCAGATTTGGATGCAGCATCAATGGCGCAAGTTCTAGCTTATAAATAATTCAGTATAAGTCCAAAATGGCATAGATTTCTAATTCTAAGTTTAGGTCTTGGTATTTAAGAAAGAGGTAAGAGAAAATAAGATGATTAGTTGTTAGAAAAATCTGCACTAGGCTCAAAAAAGTGAGTCCCACATCCTCAGACGGTGTCATTAGCAAGAGTCTCTGTTGAGAGCCAGATCCTTGCACCATTCAGAAATTTGCTAATGGGAGTCCCTTGGACAGTGCGGCGGGAAAGGTTGCCCGTTGGGGTGAAAGGAAAGGAAGATGTAAGGTATTCTGGAGGTGTAGAGGGGTCATCAGGAGAACTGGCTTGAAAATACATCCTCCTTTGGTCTGTAGGGTTTCCACCTGAGCTGGTGAGTGGTGTGTTGCCTGGACTGGTTCCCTTATATTGCCTGAGTTGGCTCTGCAGTATCTCAATTTCATCAACCAGCTGGGAGAGCTTGTGGTAGGTGGTGACTGGGCCTCCTTTGGAGATGCAGGCTTCAGGAACCCAACGGAGAAAGAAGAGCTTCCAAAAAGCCATATGAGAGGGCATGAGCAAGGGAATCAGCAGGCCCTGCAGGTCAGCGGGTCGGGAGAACCAGTCCTTGAAGAAGCGCTCAGATGGACTTAAGTCTTTCACTGGTGTCAGCTCAGACTTCAACTCGTTAGCTAGAGAGCTTCGTCGGGTCAGGGTCTCCTCCCCACCCTTTACTCCATTACGCAGATTTGTGGGCGTCCCTCGTAATGTGGAACTGTAGGCTTTCTGCTACAAAAAGAGGAAACACTAAGAATTAAACTATTTTGACTCTCTCTGTGACAGGCTGTACTGCAAAGACTCTAAAAGTTACAACTTAAAATGTATATTTTCTGTTTAATAATCCACCTTCTGTACATTTACTACAGATATTTCAGAGGACAAAGGTGACTCGATACAAAATTACCTACATGTCCTTTGACTTCTATAAATAAGAGATAAGTGGAAGAGAGACTACTGTATTTGCATTCTTTACGTTCTGTGAAACTTTCCCTTCAAATGACAGGAATTCTGCAATTACAATCTGACTGTTAGAAAATTGCCACTTTAAAAATATAAAAATCTTAAGATGTCAACCTCTTAACAACAGTTTTAAAAAAAAAAAAAAGAGAAAGAGACCATGCACATGAAAATGTGCTAATTCGAATCCTGAAAACTGGTGAACCTCAGTGCTTTGCGTACCTTGCGTTTGAAGGTTTTCACTTCACCGTTCTGAACACAGGCAGCTCCTTTGCCTACATACATGGGGTTGTTAAAGAGGGTTTGATCTTTAGTTGAGAACTGCTGTGACCACTCCCAAACTGGAGGGAAATACACAACCTGGTCTTCTCCTTGAGGGATGGCTTTGTGCTTGGCAAAGTCCTGCAGAGTAAAGACAATGTTACCCTGTGACTCTGTACGTAATAAGAACTACTATACTCTATAAAAAGCAGCTTCCACAAGTGGAACAGTTTCAATACATGAAAGTAAGAAGGAGAAAAAAGAAAAGAAAGGTCCACAACTTGCTTTTGTCTTGACCACAAGTTAAATGTTATCCTCTCTTTATGTTGTACTCTTTCCT